TACAGAATAGAGTGTTAATGACAGAATTCTTGGCAGTGTGGAGGAAAAGAGGGATCTTGGGGTCCACGTCCTTAGATCCCTCAAAGTTGCAACCCAAGTTGATAGGGTTGTAAAGAAGGCACATGGTGTGTTGGCTTTCATCGGCAGGGTAATTGAGTTTAAGAGCCGTGAGGTTATGCTTCAGCTCTATAAAACTCTGGATAGACCACACTTGGAATATTATGTTCACTTCTGGTCACCTCATTATCGGAATATGTGGAAGGAAATATGTGGAAGCTTTAGAGACGGTGCCGAGGATATTTAACAGGATGCTAACTGGACTGGACGACAGGTCTTACGAGGAAAGATTGAAGGAGCGAGGGCTTTTTTTTATTGGAGCGAAGAAGGATGAGAGTTGATTTGATAGATGATGATGAGAGGCAGAGATAGGGTGCATAGTCAGAGACTTTTCCCCAGGGCGGAAATGACTATCACGAGGGGCCATAATTTTAAAGTTATTGGAGGAAAATATAGGGGAGATGTCAGAGGTAGATTCTTTACACAGAGAGTGGTGGGCGTGTGGAATGCGCTGCCAGCAGTGGTAGTGGAGTCAGATGCTTTCGACACTTTTAAGCGACTCTTGGATAAGCACATGGAGGATAGTAAAATGTAGGGTATGCAGTGTAGATTAATCTTAGTAGAATAATAGGTCGGCACAACATTGTGGGCCGAAGGGCCTGTACTGTTCTGTGTCCTTTGTTCTATGTACCCTCCAAAGCGGTCTTTCAAGGCTGTTTCGAATTCTGCCAGAGTTGTGGTATTGTTCTTTATTTTTCCAAGTGAATGGATGATCGTCTTTATTATTCTAATGTCAAACGGAGATAAGAGAAAGAGCAGGAGTCTGCTGAAATTAAATCAGAAGAAATATTTATGCGAACATAACTGATTCCTTCCCGCCAGTGGTTAAAATATCATGAGCCGAGATCAGTGAGTTTTAAATGGACCCGACGTTGTGGTGATTGTGGTCACATCTTTAAGGCACTTAATTTCAGTCGGAAATCGGTCTCTGTGCAAAGGTTCACTTAGTATTCGTTATGGTATATTTTTCATCTGCAACAAAAAAAATTCGGCTCAATTCCATTCATAATGCACCACGTGGAATTATATACCAAATATTTCTACGCCTTGAGCTTTCTTATATTCACTCTTATTCAGCAGTACATGTTCATGAAATTTCTTTACATTTAAAGTCAACCAAATTAGACGTTGTTTCCCCCCACTCCGCGACGACACTCCACCTCCACCCCCTCACTCAGCCATAGACTCTCCCTCTCTTCCTGTGAAATTCCCTCCTTGTGTGTCTGCATATGTGTCTTTCAAAATATTTCAGAAGTGGCTTCTCGAAGTGACAGAAATTCAGCTCCCGTCCTTTTTTATCCTTCATCGATGGTTTTGAATGTTGATCTCAAGTTATTGATTCACTTGAAAGTCGGCAATTTCCTATTTACTCAGTCCGAACCTCTCATCTTCTGAAAAACCTCCATTCGGTCTTCACTGGCTCAGGGATAACCGTTCCAACTTTTCAAACATCCCCATATGAGTAAAATCCCGTCCCAGTAAACCCCATTCGTGTCCTTTCTCATAAAAAAACATCGAATACCTGCGGTGCAGACAGAACCATTCAACCAATCGAGTCAGCACAGACCCTCCAAAAAGCATTCCATCCAGACTTAGCTCCTTCGCTATCTCCACATTAATCTTGGCTCATCCACTTCAACTACACATCCCTGAACACTGCAGGGCAACTTACCATGGATAACCAATATAAACTGCACATTTAACAGCAGTGCTAAGCACTGAGCCACCCCAGTAAACCCTGTCGGCATCCTTCCAATTTTTTTTTTTTAGTTAGCATTTTCTGTTTCCCCCGTCTTTGTATTCTAGTTACCCACTCTAGTGCAAGCACGTTGGGCCCATCAGCCCCGATTGTATGCATCAAAACTCTCCTCTGTGCTGTACAATCTCATTAGCGCTGCCGGAAATGTATTTGCTGTTTCTGCACTCACGTCTGAATCGGTATACCCTGTATGTTCCTCAGCTCCCTGCTTCCATTAAACATTTCAATTCGGAACAAATCTATCAAGTAGTTCTCTTTCCAGTACGGACACAAGTGCATGTTGCAAATGTCACGTGTTTCCACTTGCAAGGACACTCTGTCTCCCCGGGAACCCCAGGTATTATTTGATATGTGGATTATTGTCAACCGAAGTGTAGTGAAAAGCTCTGCTTACCAGCAGTGTAGGCAGATCATAGTAAGCAAAAATGTACAAATCATAACCTGTATAAAAAAAAAGTATACAGAGCCATACAGGCTACGTTGCACAAAGCGTACGCTAGGCAAGACAATATCAACAAGATCAGCATTATTTGAAGTTAATGAGTCCATTCATCAATGTAATAACGACCTGGAAGAATCCATTCCTTAACCTGTTGATGAATGTGTTCAAGCTTCTGTATCTTCTGCCTGATGGAGGAGTTTGTAAGAGGTCATTACCAGGGCGCGATGGGTATTTGATAATGTTGGCAGCCTTTCCACCACAATGCCACATGTAAATGGAGCCCATGGTTTGGAGATTTGACTTTAATAATGGCCTGGGCTGTGCACATTACATTCTGCAGTTTCATACGGTCCTGGACAGAACAGTTTCCATACCAGGCCGATATGCACCCCGACTGTATGGTTTCAATTGTGCACCTGTAAAAGTTGGTGAGGGTCTTTATGGCCAAGCCAGATTTCCTGAACCACCTGAGGAAGAAGAGGCGTTGTTGTGCCTTCTTGACCATCGCATCAACGTGTTAAGTCCAGGGAAAGTTGTCGGTTATCATCACTCCGAGGAACCTGATGCTCTCTCGCCTCTCAAACTCGGGTCCGTTAATGTAGATGGCGATATGTTCTTATCCTTTCCTTCTGAAGTCAATGACCAGTTCCTTAGTTTTGCAGACGTTGACAGAGAGAAGTGTTCTCATTGCATCATGTCACCAAGCCTTCTCTCTCGTTTCTGTATTTTGACTTGTCGCTGTTAGATATTCACCCTACTACGATGTGTCGTCGGTGGACTTGTAGATGGCGTTGATTTGGAATTTGGCAACTCATTCATGGCTGTACAGGGAGTACACTAGGAATCTGAAGACGTATCCCAGGGGGAACTCCAGTGTTGAGTGTTATTCTGGAGAAAATGCAGTTGCCTATCTGATTGCCGTTTGTAGGTCAGAAAGCTGAGGATCCAGTTGCAGAAAGGGGAGCTGAGACTATTGTCTCGGAGTTTTGAGATCAGTTCTTGGGGAAGAATGTTGTTGAAGTTTGAAACGGATATTGCCACCCGCCACCCTACGTCAATGCATCAGTCAGTGCTATGGGGTTTAACAGTAGCAGTTGTCATTGAAAATAAAAACCAGCGTTTGAACATTCTTAAAAATGAATGCGATTGGTCGGTTGTGCTCACAGTGGGTATCACTGTACCGAACCGTGTTCGTCTATTCTAATATTGCTGTGCTCAATGAAATTCTTTCTACAGATATAAGCACAAGAATAAAATTTAGCATTCACAACTAGGGCCGACAGTCAACAGTCAATGTAACTGTTCTGGTACGGGCCTGGGTTGCTGAATTCAATTGTAACGCAACAACCTGCTGCAAATCGGACAAGACTATGTATAACTGATCTCTCGGACATGCTGTCTCACTATGTATTCGTCTGTAGCTTAGAAGGGAAAATGCAGGATTAAACATGTCAACACTGTAACTTCTTGAACTACACAGAAACATATCGACCCAATCAGATTCAATAGATATTACAGTGTTCAACTCGGTGTTTCATCAATAAATTAAACTGTACTGAACTTCACCAGTCCTTACTGAATGAGACTTTATAGCGGACGTTAAAGTGAACAACTTTGTCTGTTATCTGAGTTTAACAAGTGACAAGTCAGAACACCGAAAATCTGAAAGCAGCCCTGCTTAATTTTACCATTCCATATTGAACGAATCCTTGCTGGTCTACTTGTTTATAAACTAGATCGAACCATTCTGAATGGAACGAGTTTGTACAGAACATAATTGTATATCACTGGTTTTGTGCTAACGAAATCTAACCCTGATGAAGCTAATGGCTAGATGCTAGTTTGGTGAAATTATCATGTCCACATGACGTGATGTGGGCCGCTTCACACTGACAGTAACCATGCTGATTGTACACTTAGTGCACACTGATTGTAAACGAGATTCAGTCGACCTTGTCAACTCAGATTCTAAGTTCGATGAATTGGGTTTTCCCACATTGAATGCAACACCGTTTAAACTAGTATGCCCACGCTTTTTGTGACCAAGAACAAAAATTCTTACAAAGAAATTGGTATGAACCTAAAATTGCACTGAATGGAATCTGTGAATATAAGTGTTTATTTGCAATACTGATCATGCCTACACTAAATATAAAAGCATTGATGTGGATCCATGGCATTGGCTATTGCAGTGTCGACTTAACTTTCCCTTAGCGAATGTCGGCATGAACAGCAGGCCCCTTGCAAAATATTGTTCTGCCCAACTACTTGCCATCTCAGACTGTACTTGTCATAAACTGTAGTAATCAACTGTTCTGAACTAACCCTCTTTATACAGTCGTTTGACCTGTATGCTGAATCTAACTGCGTAAAGCTGAACGTAACTGTGTTATATTAATAACAATCTAAATTGAAAATGTTGAAATTGAATTACAGCGCTCGACATGAAATTTTGAAATGCGATTAGATCATTGTTTTTAGGGGGCATCAATTTGGACAGTGTTCCTTAAAGAAAATGTCTTCCTTCATCACAACACGAATACAGTCTCGGCTGCATCAATGCCAATCTGTTTGGTTCTTTCCAGGTAATTAACAGAACGACCTAATTTTGGCCCTGGAGACTGACATCATATAAAGCTAACGATGATGGAGTGTAGAAATCGCTCAGCGCTTCTTACAGAAATGCATGGAATACCAAAAGGTCTCGTGTTTGCCATTTATTACCCCTTTATTGCAACAATTGGAGTTCCAGGTAAAGCACTATAATGAGAAAGAACATTTATTTAATTATTGGGATAGATGTGTCGCGATGTTGTATAGAGGATACTAACTTAAAGTTTAATCTCACAGATGCGACTAATATCAATATATGTTCAACATCCAACAGCTTTACAGTTAAGAGAAAAGACATGAATAGGCTGGAGTATTGATTGGTGCTATAATTGAAACACGATGTTGGGAATATCAGTGATTATTCCAGAACGGTCAGAGGCAACATATATGGAAGAAAGAAGGTGTGTTGAAACAGCAATAGTTATTACATTTGTCCAGTATTTATCAAAAGTTCTTCAATGCCCTTTCGACCATTCGACCAGAAAATTTATCCAAATTAACTTGATCATTTCTGTTGCTTAGTTTTCCTAATGATCCTTCTTACAGTATGTATTACACTTTACTGCTCTCTTACCAGTATAATCTTGGGTGAAATGTCACAATATTGTCAATCAAAAACTTCTGATGCTATGCGTTACCTTATCGCTTATTATAAGTGTATTATAGCAGTGCTACCATATCAAATGTGGTCATGGCAAAGTTGCACTCTTATTGTGCGATAATGTAATTTATTTATGTTATTAACACTGTTACTGAGGCTGAGTTCTCGCAGATTAAATGTAGTTGTATTACCTTATTCATTCTATCATTGTGGATAAATATCGCACTGTTAGCATGTTTTAAATATGTTTGGTTATAAAGTTGATATACTGAAGTAGATGAATTATTGCATACTAATCACGGGCCTTATGTACTGGTACTATTAACGTTGCTACTGTGGATTAATTTTCTTAACAGCATTAAATGGTTGATGTAGCTCTCTGATGTTGTAACACTGTAACTCCAGATGAGTTATTAGATTGGTATCAAGAATTGGATGCAGTTTTCTGACATTTTTAGCTTTATTACAGTGGTGAGTTAGAACACTGACATTACAGGTTGAAGATTGTTCTACAGTGTTAAAATGGGTCTACAATGGCTGATTTACTACACTTCTATAACGTGTACATGTACCTGTTATCTCTTACTGAGTATGAACAACTTCACGGACATTTCACAGAATTCAACACTTTACTTATTAAGTAATCGACAACAAGATCCGATGAGCAGGTTTTGAAAAAAAAAAGTCTGATATGAGGTAAATAGGCAGAAACCCGTTTCTTGTAATTAATGTTAATTCTGCGAATGGATCTGCATTCAACTCGAATACTCAGAATTTCAGGTCTAATTCTCATTGGTTCAGCATGACAACTGTCTTGCACATTTCGTGCTGATGTTGCTTTTGTAATGACGATTGCTGAGGCTGTGATTTTGATTCTCCTTCTCGCACCATCAACATCAAAAGTTGGTACTCTCTTTACTCTCACCTCTCCTGCAAATCGAGCCCGGAGAACAATCACGTTTAATGGACACTGCATCACAAGGCACGCACATCTTGCACAATCATAGAGCAGAACCAAGATCATTCCTGTGCCCTGGCTAGATGTGGGTGTGCGATGGAGGGAACGACTTGGAGAAATAACATCTGTAATTCTGGTCAAATGTGCAAAAGCCATAAATTACAAGCTATTAACAAGCGAATTTGAAATGAATACTGCATGCTCATCAATACTTGCCCAGAAATTCAGAAAGTAGTCAATGTTCACTTGAATCTCGTTGTTCCGGGAGAACAGTTTCAATATTTTATGAAGATCTCATTCGTGTAAATTCAATATATGATGGTTTCTAATTATTCTCAAGAGCATATAGTTGGTTTGAAATGCAAATTTAAAACCAACATTCTTTCAATTTTTATTTCTTATTTGTGGTTCTTAAATGTCATCATCAGTTTCCGCATTAGTGCTCCTACCTTTAGCTCCGAAGAAGCTAAAGTGTGTTTTTGATTTACTTGGTTGTCAATTAGATCTTTCATGATAATCTTTATAATACCCTATTTATAATCAGTGTAATTATTGGAAACATAGAACCAAGTGCCTACAAGTCAATCGGTTGTCTCCAACGAAACGTCGGGCGTCTGGTGTGTATAATGCCCTCAGGACATATGTATTTAATTTGGATGAAGCCGTTTGAAAGGTTCTCCTCCTTCTTTCCTTCCTTCCTTTCTTCCTTCCTTCCTTCCTTCCTCCCTATCCCTATCCCTATCCCTATCCCTATCCTTATCCTTATCACTATCCCTATCCCTATCCCTATGCCTATCCCTAACTCTAACCCTATCCCTATCCCTATCCCTATCCCTATCCCTATCTCTATCTCTTTCTCTGCACCTCTCTATCTATCTGCCTGTCTGTCTATCTTATTTCTCACCCACACTTCTCATTATTTCTCTCTCTCTCTCTCTGTTTTTGTATTTTGCAGCCAACCTCTCGGTGATTCTGATCCAGTCACGAAGAAGATGTGGTCTCTCGAGATGTACCACTGATTACTTAATATCCATGGCGGTGGCGGATTTTTTGGTTATTCTCGTAGCTGGGATATTAAACAGGATTGCTGGTATTTATTTCCGAAAGAGTTTCTTGTCCATCACACCAGTGTGTAGTCTTCGTTCCACCTTAATTTACACATCCATCGACATTTCTGTTTGGTTAACAGTCGCATTCACATTTGATAGATTTGTAGCCATTTGCTGCCAGAAACTAAAATTAAAACACTGCACCAAAAAAAGGGCGACGTTGATAATAGGAGTGATTTCAACAGTGTGTTGCTTAACAAAATCCGTAGTGTATTTTATATATGAACCTTTGTACATAATTGAAAATGTACCTTGGTTCTGCAGAGTGAAATCAATATTTTATACATCATGGGCCTGGGTTACGTATGATTGGTTTTATCGCATTTTAACCCCTTGCCTCCCATTCATTCTGATTTTGTTTCTCAATGTTTTGACTGTCAGGCATATTCTTCTAGCCAGTAGAGCCCGTCGGCGACTCCGGGTCCAGAATGATGAAAATAATCAGAGTGACACAGAAATAGACAGTAGAAGAAAGTCCATAGTATTGCTCTTTGCAATCTCGGGAAGTTTTATTTTGTTTTATTCACTGTATTTTGTAACATTTCTTTTAGTTAGAATTTCCAGGCTAACTTACTTCTCAGGTTCAAATTATACCAATTCAAACTTTATTCTGGAGGAAACAGGATTTATGCTTCAGCTTTTGAGTTCCTGCATTAATCCATTTATTTATGCAGGAACCCAGAGTAAATTCAGAGCAGAGTTAAAAAATGGATTAAAATTCCCTCTAAGTATCATTGTTAAATTATATAAACGATAAACATTACAAAATTCCATGTGATATTTTTCATAATATTCTATCCACCACTCTCCTGGCTCTTACCAAGCAATTCGTTCTCAATCAGATATTTAGCAACTCGCTTGGAGATTCGTACCTTTGTTTAAATGTGAACATTATAAGGAACACTGCATCAGCTCAAAATACAGTGAATAAATATTTCCATATAACATTTCTATTTGTATTCATCATATCTGGGTACATTCTCAACTGTTTCCCGAAAAAAAGTGAACTAATCTTCGATTCATAGAGTCCCTTATATTTACATTATGCAGTTAAATGCAGTTTCCTGAATAACTATTCAACATACACTTTGAAATTTAATGGTACTACAGACTCTTAGATGGAAATGTTTAACATGCATGCATTTTTCACCAATACCGAGCTATCACACAGTGCCACATTCATTTTTTCATACTGTAACAAACCGAACGATTACTGGAGTTAAATACAATTTACCACCTCGATCCTTCTCTAAACTTTAAATTGATCATTTATGACAATCACCACACCTTGACTCAATAATAACGCATGAACAATATAGTCAGAGATGCAGCCAATCTGCATCCATTTAAAACAGCACCGTGGCTCAATGGTTAGCACTGCTGCTTCATTGCACTTAGGGCTCGGATTTGATTTGAGCCGAGGGCAACTTTCTGAGTGGAGTTTCCATGTTCTACCCATGTCTGTGTGAGTTGCCGCTGGGTGCTCCAGTTTCCTCCCACAGTCGAAAGATGTGCAATTAGGCAGATTGGCCATGCTAAGTTATCCATGGTGGTGAGGATGTGTAAGTTATGTACGTTTGCCATGGGAAATGCAGAGTAGGTGTTGGTCTGGGTGGGATACTCTTGGAGGGTTGGTGCGGACTTGTTGAGCTGAATGGCCCGATTGCGCACTGTGAGGATTCTATTTTTAAAAACAACACAAATTAAAAGAGAATATTACCTCCATTATGCACCATTGTCTTGTCTTTTTACTCGTTTGGCAGTAAACTTTCAGAACTATAATGTTGTTTTGACTAATGACAGCAATTATTTTCTGCTGATTAAACTATAGAATGTCCAACGATGAAGTAATAAAATTAACAAAAATGGACAGCTCTGAAATTCAACTGTTCCTTTGATGCAGTGCTGAAAATATCTATCGTTTTGCCATAATTGCTCGCACAATGCAACTAAAAATGTTGTTCCATGGATTCATCTTTTGTGCATTGTGAAAATAATTATAATTGAGAGGAGAGGCTGACGGATTAACTGTAAAAGGCAAACAGCATCACATAGGGGAGGGATCAAATTGACAATATGATAAGCAGATAACATCACTGAGAGGTGTGTATGAAGTGAAGACCTATGAATAGTAGTCAGCATCACTGAGTGGAGCAGGCGAGGTAAGGACACTCAAAGAAAGACAGATAAGGTAACAGAAGACCTGAGTAGTACTCAGGGTGTAAATCTGTGAAGAAAACAAATGCTACATATACTTAAGTAAGAATAAAATCAAGTCAAAAAATAATATCTCTTTCACTGATGTATGTCTGAGGAACGTTGTCCAGTGATTTGCACATTCTGCATGATGTTGGAAACCCTAGATCTCCTGGTAACCTGGATAAAGATGTGGTAAGGAGGTGCATTCAGGTATAGCACCATGAGATCCAGCGCAGCGAGCTACAGTGGCAATTGGGGACACAACGGTGGTCTCACCTTGTGGATGTTACATTTCAGGATGTGACCTCCCGACAGCTTGAAAAATTGAAGTCAGAGAGGAATGAATGGCCGGTAGACAGAAGAAGAGGAATGAATAATTCTTAATGGAATGTTACCTGTCGTCGCTTACAAACTATTTTTTGACCTTGGAAAACAATGAAAGTGACGGTACCGTCTGTGAAAGCCAGCCAAAGCCATGGTGTGGTCCTGGGAGCAGTTCAACTACTCAAGGGTTGTGGAGCTTGTGAAGAATTAAATGTGTGGGGGTAACACAGGCAGCATATTCGTTAGTGAATGGAGTAGGCAGGGAATTTTCTGGCTTAAGGTGCTCCAGAATATTGTGTTGCCTCATGGCTGCCAGGATCTACTCTGTCAAAGAGCAGCTACAGAACATTCTGAAAAGGGAATGTGAACGGCCAAATATGGTGGTTATGTTGCAACGATTTTCATCAGAAGAAAGATGTATGAGGTCAACCAAGGAAACTAGAAGGGGTTGAACGGGAAATTGGAAAAGAGAACTTGAAGCTGGTAACGTCTCAATTACTCATGTTGCCAGCAGTAGTGAGTAGAGGAGAGCAGCATGCAACAGATGAATGTATGTTTGGAGAGATTGTGTTGAGAAGGGCTTTAAAATCCTGAAACATTTGAACTGTTTCTATGGCAGGGTTGTTGGGGCGGCGGGGGTGGGGGGGTGGGTGTTGCTGGTGGTGGTGCGGGCGATGGCAGAGGGGTGCGGGAGTGGCGGAATTAGAACAATGTTACATATGAACTCAAATGGGGCCAGATTCTGGGTGGGTGATTTGCCACTGATATTGTTGCAGATTTAAAGTACATTGGCAACGATGTGCCGTCCTGATCAGTACTTCAGAGAGGAGACAGATGCTGAGAAGGAATTTAAATTAAAAAAAAAATAAGTAGGCTGCTCTATCTCACATAATTCTGGAAGAAGCAAAAGCAGTTTTCAAAGAAAACATGAAATTACCAAAACTAAATGTTATATAGATTGAATTCAAGGAGTCTATTGAACAAGACTGACAAAATGAAGACACCGATAGGCACATGGAAATATCATATCAAAGTTATGATCGAGAAATGGTTGAAAATGCATTGGAATGTCAGATCAACATTTTTGGTTATTTGATATTTAAACGAGATAAACAGGATAGAAAAGGAGGCGGAATGATATTGATCAATGAACCAATTATAATAGGAAGGTGGGGTGGTATCTTGGAAGTATCTTCAAATGCGTATATAGTGATAAAAGGCACATAATGGACAAATACACTGTCCCTAATGTACTTATATGAAAGTCAGAAAGCCAAATGCTGTTAAGTATGCAATCAAGTTTCAGCGGACAAAGAATTACAAGCTATAGGGTGAACTGGAATAATTTGAGTGCACAATGCAGAAGGGAGAAACATTTTAACGTGTGTCCAGGAGAAATCTGCTGAGCCATACATGGAAGCTCAACTAGGAAAGGGCAATTCTGGAAATAATATTCAGAAATCAACACAAGCAGTTGGAAGGCATACTAATACCAGAATTGTATTCGTGACTCTAAGAATAGTATTGTGAAAGAAATAGCGATGGACAGAGTATTTCAAATTGGTGCGAAGCTGATTTCTTTACGGTTAGATATGATTAAACCTAAGTGCAACGGGAATAGCTACCTGTAGAGAAAAAAAAAATATGTTGTAGTAGTGTGGGGCATTCAAGGAGGAAATGGCGAAAGTGTATGTAAAATATATTTCTGTGAATACAAAGGACGAGACCAGGACCAGATAACGCTTGGACTTGAGAAAACGAGAAATTTATCGCTGATACTGAGAGATGAGTAAGGTAAAATCCGCAGGGAAGGATGAAAATTGCTGAACGGGACTTAACAATTAAATTAGCTGACTTCAGCAAGACTTCTGACAATGGCCCACGTGGAAGCCAGAGAGCGAAGGCAAGTTATCATGAGTTGCAAGGATATTTAACTAATTGAATCAAGAATTTCCTGTATGGCAGGAGATAGAAGGCAATATCATAGCGATGTTATTGTGTATGGAAGCCTGAGACAGTGGTCTTCCACAGGGTTCAGTATTGGTCTTTGACGTTTTTGGTATATTATTCTGAATTGAATGCCAATGGTTTCAGGTAAGCTCGTGGATGATATAAGAATAGGTCGGGTGGGAAATAATGAGGAAACTAGCCTCATACGAGTAACTTTGCTGAGCATGTCCACCCGCCCCTTGAAGTAGCAGAGAATTAAATAAAATGGTGAAGAAGGACTTAATGGATAAATATCTTTATTAGTCGAGATAAATAATTCAAGATCAGGAAGGTTCTGTACAAAACTGTACAAAAAAAGATGGTTAGGCCACAAATGGATTAAGACAGAATCCACATTATAAGACAGATGTGAATGCAATGGAGACGGTTGGTTAACGGGGGGAAATCTGGCAGTTTATTTCCGGGTTTTTTTTTCAGTTCTTTTCAGCGTCTTGTGATCTCTGTGATTCCACGGGGATCGGTATTGACGTCACAAATGTTTACCATTTATGTGTGTGTGGTGTGTGTGTGTGTATATGTGTGTGTAGTAAATGTAGGGTGGTCAAATTGGCAGATTTTACGAAAAGATGTAGAAAAACAATTTGCAAGAAGAATGACATATTTTAAAGAGATATTAACAAGTTATATGAATGCTCAAAAAATGACAGGTGGATTATCGCATATGCAATTGTGAAGATTTTCATTTTGGAAGGGAGAACGAAAGACCAAGAAATGTGTAACTCAAAGGTCTGATGAGGAAAGGCTGAGGATCTTGAGGCTGTTTTCGTTAGAGAGAAGAAGGTTAAGAGGTGACTTGATAGAGACATACAAGATGATAAGAGGATTAGATAGGGTAGAGCCTTTTTCCTCGGATGGTGATGGCTAGCACGAGGGGACATAGCTTTAAATTGAGGGGTGATAGATAGAGGACAGATGTCAGAGGTAGGTTCTTTACTCAGAGAGTAGTAAGGGCGTGGAATGCCCTGCCTGCAAAAGTAGTAGCATCGCCAACGTTAAGGACATTTAATTGGTCATTGGATAAACATATGGATGATAATGGAATAGTTTAGGTTAGATGGGCTTCAGATTGGTTTCACAGGTCGGCGCAACATCGAGGGCCGAAAGGCCTGTACTGCGCTGTAATGTTCTATGTTCTATGTTCTATGTTCAAAGGGTTTTGGGATACTTAAGTTAGAAGCAGAGAAAACTAACACACCGATGCAGCAGCTCCAGTTTTTGCAGCAG